GTCTCCTAACAGTTCTGCTTCTCTGGAGAACCCCAGCTAATCCAGTGCTGTGACCTGCAGCCGAGGTGTCCCAGTGAAGGCAGCGCATCCTTCGACACCACAAGAGCCTCACCTAGACACGCACCTGCTGTGCCTATTCCTGTGGATACACATGCGTGCAGGGTCCCCACCCAGCCGGCCATCCATCATCCCTTCCTGCCCAGTATTTTCTGGGGTCTCAGTTCTGAATGGCTATGGGAAGTGTTTCTACCTTTAGACTGGTTCTCCCTCCCCCACCCCCTGCTGCCGTTCCCCTCAAGGTGATAGATGATGTGTCCCCGCCATTATCTGGGGACCTACCAGCGTTCCTCATTGCCTGTGGCTTGGTCGTGTGATCTCTTTGGCCAGTGGAAGGGAGTGAGTACACTGTCTCTGAGCACACCTGAGCAGGAGTTCGCAGAGGGGCTTGCGTGGTTGGTGTCAGCTCCTTGGGCTCCCGTGCACTTTGCAGGAGGAGACGTCCCTGCTCCGGGCTACTCCTTTCACCTGGGCCCAGTGTGTAACCCAGGAGGTGGGGACCTGACTTTCCCCCTCTGCCTGAAGCCAAAGGCTACTGAGCCCAGAAGCCTCTCCACTGACCCCCAGCCCTCATGCTACGTGAGTGAGAAAGAAGTATCTGTCCTGAGTTGTCGAGATACTGGGTTTGCTAATTTCCAGAGCAACAGCTGACTAGTAATCAGGGTGACGATCAGGGCACACTGAGCTGGCTTCAAAGCAGCCCTTCCCCGGGTCGGGGAGGACTGTCCGGTATGTCACTGGCAACGCAGGGGGCACGATTTCCCTTCCTGTCTCTGGGTGTGAGGGGCCAACTGATTACACTGCGTGATGCACTTGTCACGTGTTTTTTGTTCTTGTTCAAAGTTCAGTTAGAAAATGATTGGCTGGGAGTGGTGGAACATGAAATCAAAAGTGAAAAGTCCCAGACTTTCAGAGAACGCCCTGCAGGCAGGGGAGCAGGACGCAGGATGAAGATTCCCAAGATTCCCATGGCTGCCGGACATGCAATGGTGGTAAGTGCCTCCTGATTTATGAGGGAAAATCCACGGGGGATCGACCCCCAGGGGAAAGACTCAGTATGGTTTCCTGGTCTAGGGAAGCGTGAGTGCCAGCTTCCATTTCAAAAGTTGTATAAAAATTCTGTTACTGCAAAAGTCTGTTTCGTGGGAGATTATGAGGTCGTGGCAGAGTGGCTATGTCCTTTCTCTGTCCAGAGGTCTGTGATGGGTTCATGTGGAGGGAGGGGGGTTCTGGGAGAGACATGGAGATCCCAGGGAGGGGCAGCGGAGCCAGGCTGGAGCCATCAGGGCAGCCGCTGAGCCGTAGGGAGTCTGGGGGGAGAGAAGGAGTGGGTGTGGGGAGGGGTGGGGGCAGAGAGACCTGGAAGTGAGGGCTGCAGAGGCTGGGGGAGGAGGGGGACATAGAACACTGGGCCTGGAGGGCAGAGTCCAGGGAGGAGGAGGGGGAGGGAGGCTGGTCAGGAGGGGCCTGCAGCTGCCTGCAGGGCGTGTCCTGCACCCTGAGTCCAGAAGAAGGTCATGGGAGGGGTGCCCAGGGGAGGCCTCCATGGGTCCTGGGCTGCATGCGGAGTGGCAGGGAAGGAGGCGGAGCCAGTCAAGGCCCCGTTGGGGGTAACCGAGGCAGGAACAGGGCTGCCTGACCAAGTCAGTGCCAAGAAATGGACCAGGAAAGGACCAGGGGAAACCTTGGGAGTCTGTGTTGGTTGGTTTTGGTGACTGGATGGAATTGTCAGGAGGAGGGCAAAGGTCAGCTGACCCCGGTCAGTTGCTGCCCAAAGCAGGGTCGGCTGCTGGCCACACGGAAGAGCCCCCTGGAGAGGAGGGTGGGTGTCGGGCAAAGAGGTTTATTCAGGAGCCGACAAGCTGGGGACATGGTGCGCTCATGTTGCGAAGGCCGTCTCAGGCTCCTGAGGCCGACTGTGGGATCGGAAAGGGAGGCGGCGGTGGGAAAGGACGCGCAGGGGCTGCTGTGTGTGGGGCAGCCTGTCGTCCCCGGGGCCCTGGGGCAGCGTGTTCTCTGTGGGCCTGGGGGGCAGAGCGGGCCGCAGCGGGATGGCAGAGGAACTGCCGGGCCCTGTCCCCCGCGGGCGCTGCCTCTGCTTTTGGGTTCAGAGTTGGTTGCTCAAGGCCGACTGCCGGGAATTCTGAGGGAAACACACAGTTAGGCCTTGGGGGAGAGGTAATAGTTCGCTCTAAGAGGGGTGACTTGCTGTTACACTGGGACGGGGCAGCCGGGATGAGGTTGGAGGGATTTGTTGTCCTCTGGGGACAGGCACAAGCAGGAAACTGAGAAACTCCCCAGTCCTGAGGTCGGTGCCTGGGGAGGGCCGCGGAGACGTGGGGAGGAAGGGAGGAGGAGGAGGAGGGAGGAAGAACCTGGGACTTTTCCTGCTGGGAGGAACCACCCAAGCAGGCACAGACTGCCCAGTGTCTGACACTAGGAAGCTGGGTGGGGAGCTAAGGGACACAAGATGGGGAGGAGCTAAGGGACAGGAAGATGGGGGAGGAGCTAAGGGACAGGAAGATGGGGAGGAGCTAAGGGACAGGAAGATGGGGAGGAGCTAAGGGACAGGAAGATGGGGGTTCAGGAAGACTAACCCCAAGCCAACGCCCTGCAGCGGACAGAGCAGCGGTCAGGAAACTGAGCTTGTAATCTCAGTCTACCAAGGTCTGATCTCGGGCAGAGACCTCCCCCCATGCCCACCGACAACCCACCTTCCGGCCTCAGCCGCCCCATCTGACCCTGGAGGGCCACCTTGTGTCCCAACTTTGCCCACGATGACCCCGGAATGCAGGGGCTCCATGGTCTGACAGCTGGAATTATTTCCCATCGAATAGCAATAATCTCAGCTGCTGAGGGACCCTTTTTCCTTGGATGGTTCTATGCATAAAAAGAATTTTCTTTAAAAAAGACACTGGGAAAGCACCGCACGCTCTAGTGTAGAAGGCCCAGCTTGTACTCTAAGCTCCCGGGACTCATTGACTCGGACGCCTTTATCCTGCCCCTCCTTTGCCCGGGAGGCCGCTCCTACCCCACCCTCTCTAAAGCCCGTGGGAAGAAGCAAACCTCTCTCCCCTCCGGCCCCTGGGACACTTTTTTTGCTCTTTTGTGGCTCTTACCCCTGTGCTGTGAGTGACACTGGTCTGGTGTGTACCTGTCCCCTCCCAGCTTGTGCCTGTCAGGGTGCTGCTCTCAGCCATGTGTACGGAATGGAGGTGCGACAACCGCAGCTAAGTTGAGGGGGAGGCGAAGCAAAGGGCTAAGGAGACGCCGCTCCAAAGGGACAAGTCCCTGAGCAGCTGGCTCCCTCCAATACCATTTTAAAAATGATAATTGAGAAACTTTTCTTTGTCACCTACCAAGTGCCATGTACGTCATTAATACTGTCGTGTTTATCATCTGACATAAATGGAACCCGAATGGCACCTGCGTCTTCCCTTGACGCCTCAGATGCAAATGGATTCTCCGGAAACTCTCCTCCCAGCTGCTCTGGGAGACCCTGCACCCCTGGGTGTTCTCGGGGACAACAAGCTGAGGCCTGCATTGCTCCTGGGTCCCTCCTGCTGCTCCGTTAGTCCAATTTGGGGATCATTTCACCGACTCTTTTTCCCAAGCCAAAGGGACAGTCTCCATTCCTCCCCTCCACAAAATGTCACTGTCACGAGCCAAGAAGGTCCTCTCAGTGGCTGGCTCTCTCCAGAGGGTCAGCGGGAGGGCGGAGGTCACATCGGAGCCCCGCAAACCACTGATCCCTGGAGCGTCGCCAGCCCTGCTTGGCGAGGTCTGGATCTCGGGCAGGAGCCTTTCCCTGCAGGCTGCACCTCCTGCCATTGCGCTCGGGACCATCTGTCCCCTGGTGCCATCTCGCTTTTTGCTCTGCGGCCTGTCTGAACCCTCAAATTCCTATTCCCGTCCTCCACAGACAGCTCCGCTTTCCCTGTGTGACTCCGGACCACACCTCAGGCCTCCCCACACCTGAAGCCACCTGTCAAGGTGTTTCCCCAAACACGATGACCCTGTCCCTCAGGGGGGCGCTGGCAGGGAGTGTTGAAACAGCCACGCTTTCACCCCCACACGTGATCCTCACAGACACCGGGTGGGATTTTCTCCCCATGAGGCTGAGAGAGGACAAGGGACCCCGACCCCCCGAAGTCAGAGATGGTCCTTCGCAGGCCACACTTGGAGCTCAGACAAAAGTCCCCTGGTCCAGCGCTCATATCACCCGTCATCCGCCAACCCCCAAGGCCGCAGTCCACCTCTGACTGCAACCCTCTGCTCTCCTAGGTTGGTGGAGTCGCAGCTTGCGCTGTGCTGCTCCTGGCCTATATCGCCATTAAACACTGGAAATCAGCGTCCCCCAAACGAGAGGACATTGAGTACCACAGGTGAGCCCCAGAGCTCCTCAGAGGGTGCAGAGATGCCCCAAAGGGTGGAGACTGGCGGGTCTTTGAGGTTCTTGTTCCCTGCCCAGGAGTGGAGGAGCCCCACGGGGTCTCTGTGCCTCAGTGCCTCCCCTCTTCCCCTAATACCCCTCCCGTGTGTCTGTCTGTCCAGGAGAGACGAGTGGACGTCAATGAGCGGGCAAGAGCTAGTTCGTTTGCGCAGCGTTCCAATGAGGTCTTACCGTTCGTTTTCTGCAAAGCTAAAGATGCTAGAAGTGTCTCTCATGGGCACCAAAAGAAGTCCTTCCCTTCTGGCCCTCCATGACCCTGCTTGTCCCTGTCCTGACGACTGAGGGAAATGTCTCTGCAGCTGTTTGCGTAACCGACGCCACGCTCCAGTTCAGCATGCACTCTGCAACTCGGCCTGCTAGACCTTGCTGTTCCTCTCGAGAGAAGATGGGAATTTAAGATGGATTTTAACAGAGGCCCCGCCTAGGGCATATGCATCTGTGTGGGGGGCACCCATGCCTGGGGCCTTGGGGGACACCCCTCCATGTGCTCCCCTGCCCGTGAGCTTGTGGGCTGGAGGAATAAATATCTAGATGCTTAACCCTATCTCTTCAATCACTGCTTCATTGAATAAACACGTGTGAGCATTTGATGTGTTCCAGGCTCTCTTGGTGGCAGGAGGGTGGACAATGGTGAGCATGACACAGTCCTTCACCTCAAGGAAATTCTGGCTCAGGAGAGAGAACACCATGGGGGAGTTTTCCCGCACACAGGGCAGCGTGAGGGACACACACGAGGAACCAGAGCCGCGTGAGATTCACGCTGGCAGTGGCGCGGCGAGGAAGGAGCACAGTGGAGAACGGGCCTGGCTGGGGAGGCACCATCTGAGGGGGGCGTTAGAGGACAGAGGGGGTTTCCTCCGTTTCATGAGGCCCCACACTGTTTGGAGGAGCTCTGGGGAGAGTGAGCCACCCGCTGAGACGCCCAGTCCTTTGTCCCCTGCTACCACGGGTGTGATGGAACTCGGGAAGGTCCAGGGTCTCCGGATCAGAAATGTCCAGTCATGAGGCTAGTATTATACAGCGTTGTTTGAAAATATAGACTCTCATTCCAGAGAGAGAGGGCTGTGTCTATAACTTATCTATTTACGGAAGATAGTCTAAATAATGTCATCCACGGTGATCACTTGGCATCTACGGGTCACATTCTGATAGGGACAGCATCACTTCTGACATCCTGGCGCTGTCAAGCTTTCCGTAGCTGCGGAAGCACTGCAAGGCTGTCTGGTTTTTATTTGCTTGGGGTTTTTTGGTTAATAAATACACAACATGATTTGGCTCTGGCGAATATTTTTGGCCTCCGAGTTGATCTCACAAGTTCCTTCCCAAAGGCTTGAAGTCGCAGGTCCGTCCCCTGCTGCACCTGCGTCTTCTCTGACAGGGTCCTCGGAAGCCCGGCACCCGCTCGGGAAGAGCTGAGGCTCCAGGGCCTCAGGTGGCTTTTCATTTGCTAGAACTAGACAGGCCTAGGAATCCCTCACCATCAGAATGGGTTTGACAAATGGGGGAAACACGGGACGAGCAACATTCCGGTTCCGGAGCAGCCCTGCGCGTGCCTGGAGGTAGCCAGGACGTGAGTGTGTGGGGCTCCCTGGGCGGCCTGACCTGCACGGACCACCCTCCGAGGGCTGGGCGGGCAGAGCGAGTCTGCCCCTCTCTCCAGGTCCTTCCTACTGGCGCCTCCCCTGCCTGTGTGAGTCAGGGCTCTGCAGAGACCCAGAGCAACAGGCTGGGCAGGTGGGGCCATGGACAGGTAGAGAGAGGAGAGGGAAGTATATGAGGGGGATGGGCTCACATGATGAGGGAGCTGACAAGTCCTGTGACAGGCCGTCCACAAGCCAAAGACCCTAGGATGCCAGCAGCACGGCTCAGTCCACGCGCAGTGGCTCAGAGCCAGGGAAGCCCGTGCTGTCCCTCAGTCTGCGGCCAAAGCCAGAGGACCCAGGGCATTGCTAGTGTGTGCCCTGGAGTCCAAAGGCTGCGGAGCCTGGCGTTGTTGTCCAAGGACAAGGGAGGAAGGGTGTGTCCCAGCTCCGGCAGGGACAGCCACACGTTTGCATTTCTCTGTGTTCTCTCCAGGCGCCCAGGGGACTGGGTGGTCCCATCCACGCTGAGGGCGGATCTTCTTCCCCACCTCACTGAGGCTCACAGTGTCCTCTCCCCAGGACACACCCTCACATGCACACCCAGCAACGCTGCTTCGCCGGGTCTCTAGGTGTCCTTCATCCAGCCACGCTGACACCTGGCATTATCCTTCACACGGCCCGTCCCGTCACACCCTCATTCTGCAGAACTCCCGTCCTCACCCCGACCCTCCTCTGCGTTCCCACAGCCTCCTTCCTGACCTTGCCGACCTTTGAGTTAGCTCAGGCACGGGGGACATCGCTCACCTCCTGCAGTGTGAGTCATCCCAGGGGAAGCACTTTCTAATACACTGGTGCTTCTCCACACAGGGGCACCTGCCACCTGCCACCTGCCCTGCTGAAATCACCACGGAGCTTGTTGGAACACAGTCCCTTTCCTATCCTGCCATGTGTCCTATCAGTCCCGTGTTCTAGACCCCTCGGCCAGAGGAGACCTCACGCCATCCTGGGGTGACAGCTCAGTGCCTCCTGTGGGTGTTCTCTGCTCCCTCCCCCAAGCTGTCACCTGCAGGGCCTGTTCACTTCCAGCCTCTCAGAGCAATGAACATAAAAGCTGGAAGAGGCCTTGGAGGTCTGGGCTCACCCAGCTATTGGGTCAATGAAAACAGAGTAGGGAAGTTGGACATTTGCCCAAGGCCATCAGCCCAGCGGGGGCACAGCCAGGACCAGAACCAGAAGCCAGACACCCAGTCCAGGATCTCTGCC